GCTGCCACGGGGTATTTTACCCCAGCAGCTGCTGCAGAAGGCGCTGGCGGGTGTTGGAAGCGACTTGGTCCCAGAGAAGGGCAGCCAGCGAAGGTGCGGTGTTCAGATGGGGCTGGATTTATGAGCTTAAAGGCAGCCATTTAGCTGCTTCTGTTTCAGGTTGTAGAAAGGCCAATGTCACCATGGAGGTGGGTAGAATTAAAAGCAGAAATCCCTCCTAAGCCCCAGACCTCTGCTCGACTGCAGTGCTGGGGGGAGGCCGGCGCGGCTCCCTGCTCCCGCGCCGACTGCCCTGCCCGGCTCCGGGCGAGTCACCCGCTGCTCCGGGGAGGGCTGTAGCACATTTATCTTTGCTGTTTGTACCAACCGTGCCGAGCTCTCCCAGCACTCTTGGAGCACTCTCTGGATGGGGTCACTCAAGCAGGTAGTGCAGCGAAGAAGCACCGGGGATGGATTGATATTATTTTTTTTCTGCATTGTTACATTTTCTTTTGTCGAAGGAAGCAGTGCATTAGCAGGTTTCTGATTTTGCTCCACATGAAGTGTCTAAGCAGGGCATGCTTAGACTATTTTCGAGACGATGCCACCCAGAAGCATTGCAGCTTTCCTCCCCACAGTGGACACACGAGTGAGGCAGAAACAGTGGCACCCGGGAGTAAACGTGCTGCGGCATTTCAGGCGTAGGAGTGGGGTCTGAGGGACAGCGAGACCTACACCCAGCACATGCGTTTGTGCTCTGTGTCCCCCCCCAACCCTCGCCTGCTCCTGCGTATTTTGAGTGCTTCCAGCCATTAGGAAGAAAAAAAAAAGCAGTAATGCCCAGCTGTTGTAATGCCTGGAAGACCCCAGGGCAGCTCAGCGCTGCGCAGGCTCCCATCCTCACAGCTTGTTCAACAGAGCAAAAGGCTACGTAGCTCTTGGGGATATCAGCTGCCGGGGGAAGGAAACCATAAACCTGGGTGCTAGATGATGAACGAGGGACAAATCATTTCACCAGACACTGCTTCCCCTCTTCTATTTGTTTTCTCCCGAAATAGTTCATTGAAAAGAGACATACTTTGCCCCAGGTGTCTTTATTTGAAGGTTTCCAGCCGGCTCTAATGGAGACTGGGGGGGTACCAGCAGCAGGCTGGTGGGAGCTCCTGCAGAGACCCAGGAGGGTCTCGCAGTCCGACAGGGAGAGCCGGTGGGCAGCAGGAGCCCTGGGCACCGCTGGGAGACTCGGGGCTAAAGTGACTTGCTCACAGCCTCCCAGCTACGCTGTGCTGGATCTGGGGTGGGATCCACCTCATCTCCGCTCCCACGACTCAGCTGTGCCCCACGAGAGCTGTGGGCATCGCGCCGGCTCCAAGGCTCTTGTAAAAAATGCTGATTTATCAAAAACAACTTTTTTCCCCCATAAGAATGTGTTTTTATTTAAATAAAACTGCTGAAAGGAAGCATTTCTTGAAACCCAGAAGAAAAAAAGCAGACCCTCCCCAAGATGTGGAGAATTCAAAACTGAGTGTGAGGAGTGTCATTAGTTTTTTGCTGTTCACCATAGATTGTCTTTCTTCATCCTTCGTTGCTGCAAGGTGGGAGCGGGGAAAGCATGCAAGGTTTGCTACTGCCCCTGTGGAACTGTGGTGTGGACAAACTTTGTCTTCCCCAGCTAGCATTCTGTTACCTTTCAAGAGACTATAATACATTCTAACAACAAAAATCCCAAGTAAGAAACCCCAGATAATTAGAGGAAACCACGACAGAGGTATTCAATATCCAGTTGAAGACCTTGGTGAAAACTGAATGGATTATGCTTGTTATATATGGTTAAACTGGGCCACTAATGTTAAAACTGTTCAAAACATAAAATAAATTCTGATTTTCTTGTGTCAGAGTTTGTGGTTCGGTGTTCACACATTCTAGGCTCTAATTAAATGATTTACTGTACAATTTAATGCCTTTCAGTTGTCACTTGCAGAAAAATATCACGAGCTGCCAGCAAAAGAAGGCAACACTTGTCCAGGGTGGAGTTTGGCCAGAACTGGAAAACCCAACATACCAAGATAATGCAGGAACTATCACATAACCCACTGTGACCCACACTTGGTACCCAGGAAAGTGAAGGCCATGTGGCTGTGACCGTATCTGAAAAATCACTTCATTTAAAATACACCCAGGAGGATGGGGCCAGACTCTTTTCAGTGGTGCCCAGCGACAGGACAAGGGGCAATGGGTGCAAACTGAAGCACAGGAAGTTCTGTCTGAACATGAGGAAGAACTTCTTCCCTCTGAGGGTGACGGAGCACTGGAACACGCTGCCCAGGGAGGTCGTGGAGTCTCCTTCTCTGGAGATATTCAAGACCCGCCTGGACACGGTCCTGTGCAGCCTGCCGTAGGTGACCCTGCTTCGGCAGAGGGTTGGACTAGATGACCCATAGAGGTCCCTTCCAACTCTGAACATTCTGTGATTTTGTGGCACCAAGACATTCATTCCGCTGTGGGGCTTTTGCAAGTAACTGCCTCTACAAAGGATCATATCGCAGGCTTGCTCCTACTCTTTGTCTTTATTTCAAAATCTCTCTGTTACTGATCTTTAAATGGTGTGAATTTTGGAAGTATTTCTCAGAACTCCTTCAAAATAGTGTCCCCCGGCAGGTTTGGGCTGCGCTTTCTCCCAGTTCGCTGTGGGACCCCCACCAGTGCACCCACCACCCCGGACCCCTGCCCTCCCCTCCCTGCCAGTGCAGATGAGACTGTTTCTCTTTTGCTTTAGGTTTCTGAGGAGTTTCTTGGTGACGGGCCCACGACGCCGAGGCTCCTCCAGCAGCCGGGAGGACACGAGGTCGGAGGAGCTGGCGTCTGTGCAGAGGAGAGCGTCCCAGCCCAGCAGCGCTCGTGGCCCTGCGCCTCTTCCTAGCAGCATGTGTGGACAAAACCAAGGCAGGACGGGGTAGTGAAGGGAGCTACGGGGCTTCATCTGCGCTGAAGACCACCCTGCTCCTCTCCACGGGCAGGTACTCGTCGTGAGCCGAGCCCGGCGTGGTGCAGCACCGCCGGCAGCACGTGGTTGTGTCTGCTTGGTGTTGCTGCCTGTAGAGCTTGGGCAGCTGGAGCAGGCGGCGTGGGAGAAAGCCCCGCTTTGCCCGTGGCGGCC